GTGTCATGGAATCCCAGTGGTTAAGAAAAAGGGAATGGGTAACATGCCAAGCCCTGCAGAGATGAGGTAGATGAAGACTGCTCCATCCATTGCATTTACTGCCGGGAGGTGACTACCCTCTGGTGGTCCTCTTGTGGATACTCTTGATTCTTCATGAACCAAAACAAATGATACTTCAAACTGGATATAAATCAGATGTTGATCTCACTGGAGTTCATCATTTTTTGGTGACCTGAATGTTATTCTAGTGATATTCCTAAAAACATTGTTATCCATTCTAATTTCATTTTCATTATTAACTTATACCATACTTACAATAATCAGCTAAAAATAATCACATCTTTTTAGTGTGGACCTCTATAATAGTAGATTATGCATGTGTAACAGACTTAAATAACAGACATTAAAAACCTAAGTGTAGGATTTTATTCCACTTTATCTTGTAGTTTCAGGCCACTTCTATATATATATTAGTCTTTGAATGGTCAGCTATTATCTAAGTTATAATAAAATTAATAGGCATATTTGTATGTATTCAACAAAGTCTATATGAGATTTTTAAAATACCCCTAATAGCCTTGAAATAGATGAGTGAGCATAAGCTTATTTAATCATCCCCACATGCTTAGCAAATGCATCTTTGATGTGGTGAGAGCAATTACTGGGAAGACAACTAACTATTTGTTAAATAAACTATTAGGTGGACAACAGTAGGGTCTAGACAGATAAGTAACTTTGTAAATTTTCAAATTATTGGTTGACATAAACAGGTAATCACAATATTATCCATGTGTCAGACTTGTGGCAATTTTAGCTCTTGAGAACAAAACAGTGAACTTGAAAATAGGAAGACAGGCCTCTGAGGAACAAAGAAAATTGTTACTTAGCCCATAGGTATTTCTTCATAGGGCAGAAGTCCAGCCAGCATCACTGCTCAATATGTATCTTGTCTAAAAGTATGCTACTGACTTTAAGAAGCATATGTATTTATTTTTCTAGAATTCTTAAAAGTCCATACTAGCTTAAGATCTTACAGTGGTTTAAAAGCGAGTATGTTTGGAAATAAAACAGGGAAGAGTATTGGATTATGTTTCTTCTTACATTTAATTTATGAAATTGAGAAATGGGTTTTTTGTTTTAAAAACATTTCTACTGATTTCAAAATTTAAGTGTTTCTAACATTAGTAGATTTACTAAAAGCCTGTAGAAAATTTGAATTCATGATTCTATTTAAAACTGGTTTGTAAGGATGACCTCTTGGTTAGCTGAGAATTTGCCACTATTGGTTGATCCTCCCCAAATGACTTTAATTCATGTCTAGCTTCACACTTGGTTTTCAAGGGCCTCTTCCTCCAGGAAGACTGCCATGTCTTCTCAGTTAATCTCTCCCACAGACGTGATCCCTGGCACACAGGGTTTGCATTTAACACTTTCTGTTGCCTCGTTGATGCAAAACAGCTTTGTGAATGTTTAGAGTATGAGGCCAAAGGCACTATTAAAGTGTCAGAGAAAAAATACAAAATGCTGGAAATAAGACTGGCTCTGATTCTTGTTGAATTTCAGGGCTGTTTTGTGCACAGCCCTGCCGGTTATTGAAGAAAGCAAGCCAAAACATTTTAACGTTTAATACATTTCAAAATTTCTGGTGGGTACCCAGGGGAGAGGGAGAAATTTGAGATATGTTTTATCAGTCTCTTAATTACCCTCTATTTAGATAGTCACAAGAGCAAATATACCCTAAGCTACAGACGTGTTTTGCATTGTATAGTTCTTTTTATATTGAGTAAACTATGTTTTTAAGTTTAAGCTTCTTAAAAAGCTCCCTTTCAATTTTCCTTGTGCTTGAGTAGATCGTGTCTGTCAAACTGCTGATGTGATAACTGAATCTTATCATTTGATTGGATTATAGCATAATTTTAATGCCGAAAACACAGTGAAGGCCATGTTACTTTACAAATAAATTAAACTGGAGGAGAACAAAGTAAAAAGTAAAGATGGATTGTGAGTTGAAATGATTACAAGATTACAAGGTTGAGCCTTGGGAATACTACGATGTCTTATTAAATAGAGCAGTGATTCTCAGCCCTGGATACAATAGAATCGCTTAGGGAACTTTGAAACAACAGCAGCAAATACTGATGGCTGGACCTCTCACCCCAGAGATTCTGATTTAGCTGGGGCCTGAATGGCAGTAGTTTTTTTCTTTTAAAGCTGCCCAGGTGGTTCTAGTGTACAGTCAGGTTCAAAATAGATGAGAATCCAAGCTGTACAAAAAAAGCATTTCTTAGTAGACAAAACATAGTGGCTGCATAGCTATTTGATAAGAGGAAGCATGAGAAAAAGATGGAGAGAAACTTTTAGCGTAAAATTGGTAGAGGTTTACAATCCGTTATTCACAGATCTGAAATACAAAATCTCTGAGAAACAGAAGTTTTTCATAACTTAACCTGGTGACAAAAGCTAACCTAAACTGAACGTATTTAGTGGGAAATCCTGAGGCTTTTCCTGGTCTGTCTTTATCTCATTTGATATGAATGATTATACATTTCATTGCAGAAGTATTAATGTGTCTGATTTCTGATTACAAGTTACTGCCCCAGACCTCACTAGGGTATGATATAGGTAGGGTACCTTTCTGAACTGTCTAAAATGGTGAATCCTGGAATACACCTAGTTTCAGGGGTTTCAGATCTTTGGAGGGAAGGCTTGTAAAAGGGAAGGCCAATGTGATAATGTACTTCCTGTCAGGTTCATAACAGTGCGTCTCTTCTGATTACCCAGGCAGTGGTTTAGCACCCGCATTAAATACAAATAATGGCAAATATCAGAACATGGCTCTTGGCTCCTTCTGTATACCTTTTTTGAGCCTGATTTGAGAAGAGGGTTCCATTTTTGTCATGGTGAGAGAAACTTACGTTAACCAACAACACAGATAGAGTAGGAAAATAATCATCTGTAAAAGACTTTTCAGCAAAACAAACCACCTCCAAACTTAATGGTTTGAAACAATACATTTATTACCTTAAATGGTTCTTGACTGTTAAGAATTCAGGAGCATCTTAGCTGGATGGGTTTTGCTCAGGGTCCACAGGAAGTTGTTACCAAAATGTGGGCCATCTTCAGACATCTGAAGACTTGACTGGTGCCTGAGTGTTATATTTCCTTTTCAGTGCCAACAGGTCCCTTATTAGTGCTTAAAGAATATTCTAGTCTCTGTTTCTGCAGTTTTTCAGAGTTTTAGTTTACAGTATAAACCTAACAATTATTTGCTAAGGGATGCTTTGAGTTCTGATATGTTCTGAAGATTTCTGCTGGGAGTCTCTTATTAGCGGGGAAATACCTTCTCTTTGGATTTTCACTCTCCTCCCTCCGGCAGCTTTTTCTCTCCCCTGGGTTCTGTCTGTATTCTCTGAAGGTTGCCTCTGCATCTGCCTCCTGTGGGTCAGTGAATGAGTGTTGATGGCTGGATAATGTGATGAAAAGATGGCCACCTCAGTGGAGCTTCTGTCCAGAACACAGGCGTTTATTCACAATTGAAAATGATGAGTTAAATGATTGCTAGCATGTTGGGGGAAAAAAGTGCTGGGAAGATGCTATAGAAGCCTACAATGGGATCTTACCCAGTTTGTGTTTTGCTTGATAAGTGCTTTCCCCTTTGTGTTTTGACTACCCTTGGGGTTTTTGTCAAAAACCTTTTCCCCCCTGGGGCAGAGACATGGAAGCTATTCTGTACCCCACCCCATTATATAACCTGTCCACCCTCCCTGACTGCAGATGTTCAAGGGATGTAGTGTAGTACAGTAGAGTAATCTCGTGTACTGTATGTGAAAAAGAAAGAAAAGAGGAAAAAACCAGTAAAAGCTTAGGTTCCTTCTAAATTTAACTGTGAAGTTCTTGTCTTCCTCACTGCCCATCCCTCATCTTCTTGGCTCCCCAAAAATGCTCTGTTGGTTTCTTGCTCATCCCTTCTCTCCCTTTTTTTCTCCACCAAATCTTTGTAAAGATGTAGTTTTATACAATGTTGGGAATAGGACACTTTCCTTTTCTGAGCTATTTCTATTTTGAGCCTGTTTTTAATTTGAGGAGGAAAAACTGAAGAGCTCATGAAGAGAATTTCAGGTGTGGAGAACTGAAAGAGGAGAGTGGAGAAGACAGTTTTTGGTCCCCTGTAAGCAAATTAAGTGATCCACCTTATGCATTGTTTTCCATCTCTGCTTTCTTCCTGTCTGAACCGCAGTGGAGTCTTCCGAGGGAGCACATAAAATTGAAAAGGCATTAACAGGGTCCCAGTGAGTGTTTATAATCTGCATCTTTGTCCACCTCTAAATATTTTTAACACTGTGACCAAGGAGACTCCTGAAAAGAGATGGTGGTACTACGATAAAACTTATGAACAATTTCAAATAAATTATGCACTAATTTATATTTTATTTTGTTGCTGTTTTATTACTACACATAAAGTTTTATGAAGATTTTACTCTGATTAATCATCACTTCTATCTCCTCTAGCTCTCTTTTTCCTCATAAGCTCTTTAACTGTAAATTTTTCTACCCGTGAGCATTTTCAGATCTCAGACTCCCACGGTTAGAGAGGGACTGATTACTTTCTCATTACAGTATAACTGTCCTAGAAAGTCGTAAGGTATCAGAGAATCAGCTAAATCAGGAGCATACCCTTTTGAATGGCCCGCACTATTATTTATTTGCATTATTTTTGTATGTTACATAGTAATAATTTTGAGGTCCTGCCCATCATCGCGGTATACGTACCAGTGTTTTCCAATATATCCATTCTGGCAACTGCCTAATTTTCTAACGTAAGTCGATCAGATTCTTCCAGATTTGGGGTCTAAAATTCCTACGCAGAGGTTCATGGCAGGAAACTCAGCTCTTACTGCAATAGCTCTTAACTTTGGTTGCATATCTAAAAACAAAGTACTGCTTTTGATAGCTGCATTTTTCTTATTCTAATTTGATTTTTCCCCCTAATATTTTATTAGGTGCAGAGAGAACTAGCAGCAGTTATTGCTTTGAAAGCGAGGAAGTCTGGTGAGTAGTCTTCCATGGGGCTGGAGGAAGGTTCTGATTCTTTGGGAACATTTCACATTTCATGTGGTTGTGAGCAGTTGAATGTCTCTCAGGAAGCTTTGGTGTAGAATGCAGAAAGGTACCTCCATTTGTTTTAAAAAGCATTTATTCTACCATCAAAATAGCACAGGATATATAAATAGTTCTTTAAAATGTCACTGTCTTGCTTTATTTCATACTTCAAGGAAAATGAAATTAAGAATTAAAAATATGGTTGTAGTCCACTGCAAGCATGGAAAAAGTCTAGGAACCCAATAAAAGAAAGCAAACCACATTGCATTAGCTATCATGACAGAGTGAAATAAATAACATAAATATGGTCTTTTTTTAAGTTACATTTTTCATCTCAAAGTAGTTTCTTCTAAAATAATTGTCTAGTAACATATAACAGCAGGCATTTTTTGTAGGGCTGATTGTATGGCTCTCATTCCTAATACCTGTCAGAAGCAATCTGGTTGTGATGTGTAGGAAGGAAAACGGAGCTTTCAAATACATTTTGAAGAGAGAAGGCCATGCTCTGCTGGAATTCAATATGAAATAGAGACTCAATGAGGTAGAAAGAACTTGCTTTGAACAGAGGAGTGTTAGGAGGAGGCATCCTGTGCTGTTCAGAGGCAGGAGGTCAGTGCTGAGTAGAATGACAAATACTTCTTGGATAATGTTAAACTAGAGTAAGACTTTCCAGGTGCAACACTATGACACAATCAAACAGTTGCCAAAGTTTGAAGAAATAAATGGAGTGGAAATGTCCGAAGAACAGAAATCACACATTTTACATCTTTCCTTTTCTAGCTAGAAACTCTAGACACTTACTTTTCTCTCAGTTACTTTTGGAATCCAACACACCTTAGTATGAATTAGCTTGTTACATTTATACCGTATTTTTGTTGATCTGGCTGATGTTGAGGACGAAGAGACTAGATGCTGTAAGTGTGGAGAGGAGGATGCAGGGAACAGCGATCTTAACCCACAGGGTATTGAATAGTGACCAGGCAGTGTGAGTAGGGCTCCTCAGAGAACAGCATTAGCTGATGGAGATTTGCGCAGGTGGAGGCAAAGATGGAGGGAGAACATCGGTATAAAGGTTGTAGAAGGCAGATCTTAGAAATAGATTGTGCTAGACCTGGTGCTGGTTCTGGAAACTGATAGTATGTCGTTGCTGGAGAAAAATAGAGCAAGTGGATACAGATGGGCTGGAGAAGGGGGTTGCTAATTTACACAGAGTGGATGGGAAGGCCGCTGAGAGGACACATTTGAGCAAAGACTTGAGATCAGTGAGGGGGTGAGCCCTGTGGGTGTCCAGTCAAGAACATTTGTGCAGAGGTGTGCAAAGTGTGTTTGAAGAGCAGCAAGGAGGTGAGTGTGACTGGAGCCACATGAACAAGATGAAAAGAGGTAGGTTTTTGTCAGGCTAAGAAGTTCGAATTTCTGGAGGTGAAGGGAAATGAGGAAGCATAAGCAAGACCCACACACATTAGCTTATGCAAAGTAAAAGGTTGATGTGAAGTTGACTTGACTATCTCTGTTCCATTTTATTGTCTTTGCTCCTTTGTCAGAGATCACTTGACTGTATTTCTGTGGGATTATTTCTGGGCTCTCTAATTGGGTTCCATTGATCTACTTGTTTTTCTTTCACCAATACCACACAGTCCAGATTACTACAGCTTTATAGTGGGTATTGATGTTGGGTAGAGTCAGTCCTCCAGCTTTGTTTTTCACCTTCAACATTGTGTGGACTATTCTAGGTCTTTTCCCTCCCCATACGTACATTAGAATCAGTTTGTTGAGATCTGTGTCTATTATTATCTTTTCTAATTGGTTATTTTTTGCTGAATTGAGTTTCTTGACTCTGTGCCTAGCAAAAGTGTTGAACTCAAATGAGTATCAATAGCTCGTTTTAAAATTACCTTGCATTTTCTATATGGGCAGATAGAGCATCTGTCAGTTGTGGCTGTTTTGTTTCTATCTTACTAATCCATTTAACTTCTTTTTTTCCTCTCTCATACTTTCACAATAGCTAGGGTCCTGCAATATAAATTGAAAAAGATCAGTGATAGTTGGCATTTTCATTTTGTCCCTGACAAAACAGAGGGTGTTTTCTGATAAGAAAAGTAATATAAGTGAAGAAGATTGTTTTAGGGAAAAACAAAGACCTTTCTGTCCCACATCCTTCAAACCACAACAAATTTGAGAAACAATCTAGGGGCAAACATAACCAACAAGGTGATATTATAATATTTGAAGAATCCAAATATAGAAATGTAGATACTTACCTGGCTCACCCCGCATCACCGCTGCTTGAGTTGGCATTGAGAGTGGACGAAAAGTAACAGTGGCAAAGGTAGATGAGAGCCTAAGTCATAGGTATTGTCTTCATTCATTCCGTTATCAAATTCTAATTGAGCACCAACTGTATACCAGCTACACTGTAAGCCGTGAGGATACAATGAATGAGCAAGAACAAATACGGTTTGTGCTGTTTTTAAATCACAATGTATGTCTCATAAATTTAAAAAAAAAGACATTAATAAGTCAGTGGCTGTCTGAAGAAGGAAACTGTATGACTGTGTAGTTAGGAGGCGATTAAAAAAATGAACTATTAAGCACAGCCTTAATTAAATAGAATTTTAGCTGCAGAATGGTAATTTCTGTGTATTGTTGTTTTTAAAAACTGAGTCTTTTTTAAAAAAAGGAAGAAAAAATAATTCTAATGAAAAAAGTATTAAAATGATGGTTGGCACATCTGGAACTTGACAGAAGGAATTGATGACCCTAATATCTTATGTCTTGCCGGAAAACTGTTAATTAGGGCTCAGGTGGTCATGCCAGATTTATGTCTCACTGCGAAGGGTTATTAAAACGAAAATTAGTGTAAAGAAAAAGTTTTTGGTTTCAGCTCACCATACAAACAGAAATAAAAGTAACTGCCAATCAATACATTATATAAATGATTCAAGGCTCTAGTTTAGGAAAAAATCAATTTTGTTGTAATTTTCTAAGAGGCCATTAGGATGTGCCTTTAAACAGTTTTCACCTCTAAATGCTAACCTTAGTGGACGTGAATAGCATCTTAAGGCTTCACAAGATCTTAATAAATTAGCACGGATATCCTTGCATTTCTTTCTTTTTTGTTGGACTGCTTCTTCTACTGTAAATTGTTACCCAATTAGAGCCTTGGGAGATATGTTTCTTCCCCTTTTCAAGGGAATCCACAGCCAAAGCACATTTAGTTCTCATTATCTTTAGATCATATGAAATTTGTGCCATGATGGACTTCTATTTCTGGAAAGGCAGAAATCTCATTATTGGTAAACCTCCTTGGCAGTTTTTATATTTCACTCTCTGCTGAGCCCATACCTACTTAAATGTTTTAAAACTGAGTATCTAGGATGTTGATGTTTGGAAAAGAAAGGCTCTGTTTATGCTATTAAATGCCTTTGTGACTTCAGTAAAGTGATTCCCATTTGTGTCATGAGGGGGTTGGTGTAGAATCAGGTAACCTCAGAGATTCCCCCCAGCTCCAGTATTTAATTATAACAATGAATATTTTCATTAATTTCCTTCACTATCTTTAATGGAGTCACAACCTTGAGGATATTTTATTCAGGACTCTTTTAGGTACAAGTGAGAGAAAAACAAACTGAAAATCACAAAGGGAGTTTCTTGGCTCCGGAAATCTATGGAATTAATCAGTCTCAGCAGAAGAAGAGAACTTCTTTCTTGGTAGATCCAACAGGGGGACCCCCTTGGAAGGCTGAATGGCGCATCTCTGGAGCAGAGGAGGCATGGGTGGAGGGGAGGATAGAGCGGTCCCGTCAGCCCCCCACGAGACCCTCTCACTGAGCCTGGGGCAGGTGTGCTCCCCTGAGAAAACCAATGGAAGAGGGAACGGCTGCTGGGGGAGCACCAGCACCACGTGTTCACTGCAGGAGGATCTGTTTGTACTGTCCCAGTCTCACGATTTAGAGAGGAAGTGTTGTGCCCTAGAGCACACAGGCTAGAAGTCTGCCTGCCAGAACGCAAACCCAGATTTCCCAACACCCATTCTCTGGTTTCCCCAACTACACTGTGCCCCTTCCCTTGTTAGGATTTTTCTGGATTATGGGGAGTAAAGGTGTGGTTTGAGAAATGGCGTTCCCGTTTTTGAATTATTATTCCTGGAAATGGGAAAGAATAGAGTAAAAACTCATAAACTTTTCAAGTAGTAGAATAACAGCATTTTTTCCTCTTTCTAAAACAAATCAGCCAGAGATTCAGGTTAAAATGTTATTTTTCTACTGAGATATTTTATTATTTCTTTGGGGGTATTAATATGTGTGTGTGTGTGTGTATAACATAACATTGTATGAAATGATTTCACCTATTGCGTTTAGTTTTTGTTTTTTTATAGCCACTATTAGTTTTGATAGGCCAGAAAGGATGAGAGGGAAGGCATTTTACATTCGAATTAAATTATTTCTCCTAGCCTTAGAGATCCTCTTGGTTGTTTTATCATCTTTGAATCGTACTGAAACTTAAATAGGCTTTTGAATGGGTATGTGATCTCAACAACCTGGTTACTACTGTTTGCCATGCATTGAACTGTGTGTGTGTGTGTAAAACATTCAAGCAGGCAAGCCCCGGATCTGGTAATCATGGTGGACCCATCAGACAAGCTGAGGGCCTTTTATCACCCTGGGAGCCTGGCTAAATTCCCAGCTTTAGAAGATCTACTGTTGGTAACAGTCACTGATCACCAATAACAGGTTATATGAACTCTAGCAGTTTTAGGCCCCCTTCTTAAGTATGTGTCTGTGAGACTGGGGCAAGTCGGTGCTGACAGGAAGCTCTGCAGTGAGGTTTGAGGTCTGACACAATTGAAGAGACCTATTCTCCTTTAGGGCAGAAGCTTTCCAAAGGAAAGACGTTCCTGTCACATTGTCATGAGAAATGGAATAGATTGACTGATTATTTTCAACAGT